ACACTGCCTGGGCACCCCTGGCTGCCGAGTCCAGTCGCTGTTACACGTAGCCAGTCAGGTTATAAGCATTGAACTCGCTCTTGGTCTTTTGAGTCATGTCGGGGGGTGGTGGGTTCCTGCTGCCCAAGGTTCTAGCACGGTAAGGGCTGTAATAGGGTGCATGTGTTTCCCGAGGGGGGCAGGAGGCACAGAGGATGAAGCCGCCAATGAGGGAGGTCAGGGAGGAGAGGATGCCTAGGTAGAGAGCTTCCCCAATCTCAAACTTCATGCTGTCAGGGACAATGGGGTTGTAGAAGTCACGGAGGATCGTGTGGATGTTCCACACCACGGGGATGAAGCAGAGCAGTCCCCCAACCACAAAGGCCGCCCCTCCAAACACAGCTATCCAGTCCTTGGCAGGGGAGCCCTGGGAGAAGATGGTGCATCTCATCCCCACGACACAGACGACAGATGCCAGCGAGGAGACGGCAGTGGAGGTGACCATCAGTGCCTGGGCCACCTGGAGGTCAGTGGGCAAGCTGAGCAGAGAGCTGTAGATGTCGCATTGGGTGATGCCCGTGCTGTGGGTTGCACACTCCATCCAGAGTCCCTTGGAGAAGCCAACCGCAGTAACGATGCTTGAGCCGATGTAGGAGTTGGTTCTCCAGTTGGGCAGGAGCATGGCTATCAAGGCACCCAACAAGCCAAAGAGCCCAAGGACGTACCCCACAAGCTGGAGGCCAACTGAGATCATGCCTGCTGTTTCTTGTTCTCTTTTGGCTTCTGGTCTCTCATCGGCGGCTTGCCGTTCTTCTCCCCCCGCTCATCTCTCTGCTCCTCTAGTTTCCCATCGCGTGATGAGCGACCCTGGGGTGCAGCCTCTTCTTCCTATCTGCTCCTGTCTATCTCCGTCCCGGATTCCAGGTCCTTGTAGGCTGGTCTTCGTGTGGGTTGGAGTGAGGAGGAGAAAAGGTTATCTGGGTGATAAGGGGGAAAACCGCAGTGGATTAATGATTGACCAGTGACTTCTGAAAAACGCAGAGCGCCCTTTCATCCCGCTATCTGTAGAAATTACACTTCAAAAAGTCAGGAAACCCACTCATATTAATAAATGGGGCAAAGGGAGCAAAGGAATGGCAGTTTCCTGGTTGTCTTTTAATCATAAGCGATGCAAAGGAAGCCAGGCACAAAGCTCCCCACTTTCCTCATCTGTACTTAGCCCTTTGACAGCAGCTGGGAGGGGGGAGCTCTCTCGTTGGGCATAAAACCAGCCTATAACATTGGCTTTGCTTTTCCTGCAACTTTCCCGCCAGTGCAGGAGAAGAATCGAAACCCTTCAGCTGTACTTATTGAGTCATTGCATATTGCTTTCCAATGCACACCCAATGCCAGATCATCTCTGGCCAGCAGAATACCAACTCTCATGCTCTGGCTCCACAGGGTAACACCATTGCCAGAGTATACAGAACTCTGCGCATTATTGATATGGGGATTACCTTTGCATGACACACTGGGACAAGTGTACTGATGTGTATCCGGTGAAACATTGGCAGAGTTTGTCTTAAAGTCTCCATTGACACACGGGTCATTTCACAAGTGGTAGCGCTGTGCATGGCACAATTCTTGCACACTTGTGAGCACGTTACATATCCTGCCTAGAAAATGCATTCATTAACTGCATGATTCAATTATCAGTTAAAATTACTGCACAAACATACATTTAGACTAGTGTTCTCTTGTGAGCATCATGCCTTGCATCATTGGAGCATGGATCCAATGAGAGTTTTCTTGTGCAATAGCTTACCACAAATTAAGAACAAAACTGCCACTGATATAATTGTCTTTATGTTAGTGGAAGTGAATCACTGGATACATGCTACGCTTTTTTTATGATATCTGTACACCAAAAAATGGAGCTGCGGTGGCTCAAGTGGTTAAGACGCTGAACTGCAGGCTGTGGAAGGTCGGTAGTTCAGCAGTTCGAGACCCGGGTGCCGCATGATGGAGTGAGCTCCCGTCTCTAGTTCCAGCTCCTGCCAACCTAGCAGTTCGAAAGCAAGAAATTGCAAGTAGATAAATAGGTACCACTTCAGTGGGAAGGTAACAGCGTTCCGTGCGCCTTGGTGTTTAGTCATGCCGGCCACATGACCACGGAAACGTCTTCGGACAGCACTGGCTCTTCGGCTTTGAAACGGAAATGAGCACTGCAACCCTAGAGTCGGACTCGACTGGCTTTCGAGCAAGGGAAACCTTTACCTTTTTACACCAAAAATATGCACTGTCTTGGAGACAGTAAATATAGATTCCCAAGAGTTGTCTTGGGTCAGTCTGGCCAATGTCCAGTACTAGCTACTTTCTGAGGCCAGAATCCTCATCCTATACTTCATGCCGCCTGACTGGGTGGAGGGCAGCTCACCTTGACCCTTCAGAAGGAGCTGGCCTCTTCTTCATTTTCTCCAGTTCTTCCAACCTGCCTCTTAAGGTTTCAGATTTGGGTTTTGAATTGGGGGAGGGGAGATTGCAGGATTGAGGCTGGCTGAAACATTACTCTTTTAAAGGAAACATTTATGACTCCAGTCTGTAAAGGTTTCTCCTGGCTGGATTTTACCCATCTGTATTGACCTAGCCTGCAAGTGATTGCTATAGTAAGCCTGCAGATGCCTGGAGGCACTAATGCGATGGATAAAATGCTAATCAACTGCAGTTTAATTCAGATGACTGAGGTGCTGTTGGTTGTGGGTGGTGTTGATTGAGGAACTGGTTACAGCCCACACCAGGTGGAGTTCTACACTTCCTGAAAAAGCATGCTCGCTCTTTGGGGTGCTGTTAGACCTGGGTCTACAGAAGGATTATCTGTGGTATGTATAGGACTTGTTCAGGAGGTCATTTTTATAAAGGTAATCAGGCAGTAGTAAAAAGGTCCAGTAAAACTGAATTTTTCATTGCATGTATTCTACTTCTTTATTCCAGTGCTTTCTAATTTTGTAATCCTAACCCTAACCCCTAACCCTAACCTTAATCCTAACCCTACAGGTCTTCATTGCACTGTTTTCTAATTCTGTAATCCACCTTGATTCTCAACAGGAAAGGTGGACTATAAACTAAGTAAATAAATAAATGCAACCAGTTTCACCTGGCTTCCCACGTATAGTCCTCCTAACCCCCAAACAAATGCTGGTCAGTTATCCGTGCTCTCAGGACTTCCGTCTTTGTCCCCTCTAATGTTTTCTACATGAAGCTGCCTTTGAAGGCAGTTTAGAAGCTTCAAATCATACAGAACACGGCAGTAAGATTAGTGTCAGGTGTAGATTAAAGGCATGTTATGTACATAAGTGCCATTGCAACTGACTTATGGCAGCCATGGCAAGGGGCTTTCGAGGCAAGTGAGAATGGTGCCATTGCCTTCCTCTGCAGAGTCTTCCTTGGTGGTCTCCCTTCCAAGTACCGACCCTGCTTAGCTTCTGAGATCTGATGAGATCAGCCTGTACCAGGCTGCCTTCCCTTCCAAAATGCAAAGAGCTTCAGTAGCTGCCTAGTTGTGTCAAGGTCAAATTTTAGGTGCCTGTTTTGGTCTTTAGAGCTCCAGACACGTGTCTTCCTGAGCACTGAATTCATCCCAGGGGAGGCTGTAGCCAGCTCCAGACACGTGTCTTCCTGAGCACTGTAGCTGCTGCCCCAGGCCTAGAAGGGAGAAACCTCCGTGGGGTGGAATGCCGCAGTGTCCACCCTCCAAAGCTGCCATTTTCTCCAGGGGAATTTATCTCTGTCGTTTGGAGATCAGATGTAATTTCTGGAGATCTCTAGGCCCCTCCTGGAAGTTGGAAAGCCCAGCTGGGCCTGATGTTGGATGGAGTGGGGTTTGACTGCCCACAGCCCTGCTCACTCAAGGTGGTGGTGGTGGGGGAGAAGAGCAGGTTTCTGCCGACTCTGGCAGCTGGTGCTTGGGTAGCTGGCTTCTGACAGCAGCAGTTGCTCTCACTCCCTTTGCATGGAGCAACAGCCACCCCTAGCTTGACTCTAGGGGGCAGGCTGCTGCTGCTGCTGCTGCTGCTGGTGGTGGTGGTGACGGCAGCAGCAATGATTATATTGCCCCCTCCTGGACTTTCGGCCAGAGCCCCAGAATCACTAGATCTTCCCTCACAGGCTTTGTTCTGAGCTATCTCCGACCTTCATATCTGAATGTTAATGGCCATGAGGAACAGGTTATTTTCAGCCCCCCCAGTTCTGGAATATCCTTCTTTCCCCTCTGTGTCTGGCACAGAGCCTGGCTATTTTCTGGTGCCAGGCCAAGATATTTTTATTTAGTCAGAATTCTAATTAACGAATGGGTTTCCCCACTGTGACTGTTGTTCCCTGGCAGATCCAGCATCTTAACTATGTGCTGTTTCTCTCATGGCTTGTAGCTGTGTTGCCATTTGATTTGCACCTTTGCTGTTTTAAGTGCTGGTTGAAATTTAGTTATTATTATTATTTTATTATTTATTGACTTTATCCAGCTGGTTGGCATTTAGTTATTTTGTTTAATTGTATTTTATGACTTTTGACTGGTTCTGTGTGAATTGTATTCATTTAGTCGTAACCTGTCTTGAGTATGAATACAGAGAGAGGCGTACAGAAATATTCTGAATATAAATAAGTGAAAGCTGCCAAGATCTGTACCTGTGGGCCACACAGAGTGCAATTTATGGTGCAACCCTAAGAACATTTTCCTGGGAGCCAGCCCCATTAAAGGACCTGAGCAGTTTTCTGAGCAGACCTGCTTAAGATTGCTCCCTTATATGCTTCCCCCTGCCCTGTAAAAATGAATCCTGACCCCTTGGTTCTAGGGTTGCCAGTTCTGGATTGGGAAATACCTGGAGATTTTGGGGGTGGAGAGTGGGGAGGGTGGGGTTTGGGCAAGGGAGGGACCTCAGCAGGGTGTAATGCCATACAGTCCACCCTCCAAAGTGACCATTTTCTCCAGGGGAACTATCTTGGTCGTCTGGAGATCAACTGTAATAGCAGGAGATCTTCAGTTGTCACCAGTGTTCCCTCTAAGCTGAGTTAGTGTGAGCTAGCTCACAGTTTTTTAGCCTCCAGTTTACACATTTTTGCCTTAGCTCAGGAATGATGGCTCCAGAGCAAACTAATTTCTGCAGTAGCCAAATCGCTCGCTCACAACTTTAATGCTAGTAGCTCACAAAGTAGAATCTTTGCTCACAAGACTCCACAGCTTAGAGGGAACATTGGTTGTCACCTGGAGTTTGGCAACCCTACTTGGGTCCAACCTGGACTAAGATCTGGGAGACCCATGTTTGAATCTCCACTCTGCCATGGAATCTTGCTAGGTGACCTTGGGCTAATCACACACTCTCAGCCTTACTTCAAATATGGGTATGAAATGGAGGAGAGGATTTGGGTCCCCACTGAGAGAAAGGTGGCGTATAAGCATAGTATATAACATTATTTTGCATTTTTAATTTTTTTAAAAAATTACTTCCTTGCTTTCCTGCCTTTCTCCCCAGTGAGGACCCAAAGTGGCTTACATCATTCTCCTCCATTTTACCCTCACAACAAACCTCTGAGGTAGGTTAGACTGAGAATGTGTGGCTACAACCAGCCAGCTTTCATGGCAGAATGGAGATTTGACCCTAATCTGGTACTCTAAATACTTGGCAACGCTGGGTCTTGGTAGTGAAGCAGTTACAGGGAGCTGAGATTTCTTCACTGCATCCTCTCTGACTCTGTGGTAGTTTTAGCACACAGTCTAATAAA